AAGAAGTTAAATTAAATACTGCAGTACTGTAAGTCCTTCCAACCACTGAGAAAATAATAGAGAAGCTAACTGGAAATGTCGTGAACATGTTTTATTCATGGCTGCAGATGTGGAAGCATACAGTGGGTGAACCCAGGAATTAAAATTTGGGCCAAAACAAATCAAAACTCTATTATACGTTGTATTTGATAGATTTGAAATAATATTTTTGACATTTAATGGAGAAATAGGTCTTAAGAGCTACAATCTAGTTCATCTTTGCCTGGCTTCAGGAAAAGTGTAATGATAGCCTCTGTGAGGCTTGATGGCAATTCTGATTGTTCATAAAAATAATTAAACATGCTAATGAGCAGTGAGGTCAGTTGTGAGGAGAACGTTTTGTAGAACTCGACACAGAAACGTATGACCCTGGGGCCTTGTTATTCCGCATATAGCTTGATTCCTCCATTTCTTGAGATTGTGGAGATTTTTCTAGGTTCCTCCTTTTATCTTGCTTAATGCTGAGCATTTACCTTAAGCCAGCAGTTCCCAATTCCAGTCCCCGCGACCCCCACTCTGCACATTTATGTATCTCTTATCACTTCAGACGTTTGTTCTATTCGACCGTAAGTGGACTTCACAGGACTCCGCCATGATTCCAGTTCAAAGGAAGTGTATATGTTCCATTCAAAGAGCATTAAAGTGTGCGAGACGTGAAGTTAAATTGTATTTATTTACAGAGGTATATTATGTCACACTTCACACTTCTCTAGTAAGTTTCGTCTGTTTGTGAAGATACTCCAGGCAGTGGCGTAGCGTAAACCCGTGAATGAATATTCCGAAGTGAAGTAAACTTCAACGGATTTCCCGTGCTCAGGGAATAGGGAGCAAAGAACACGGTGTAGGGACCATGTCAATCGGAACATAGTTCATGCATGGAGCTCTCTTCTATTGAGCTGGTTATCTGAATCAGGTGTGTTAAATAAGAGAGACATACAAAATATGCAGAGCGGGGGTCGCGAGGACTGGAATTGAGAACCGCTGCCTTAAGCCTCGTGCACACCGGGACAATTATCGCGCGCGCTTATTGCCAGCGTTTTTCGAGACGTTTTTCGACGCATCTTTGTGTTCATACCAAAGCGATTTTCGCTGGCGATGAGCCGAGTGAACGTGTAAATTCACTCCCTGACATTAGATGGCGCTTAATGAAAAATATATATAAGAAATTTAGGTAACACTTTATTTCGATAGTCCACTTTAGACATTCTATTAACAGTAAGTAACTTTGCAACTACATGTCAACTAGCAGTTAGTAGAGTATTAGTAGACTGTCTGCTTAATATCTTCTAACACTTTCTTTGTCAACTTATTCTACTAACCCTAAACCTACCCTAACAGTCTACTCTGAGAATTAGTTGACAGGCGATGAGCCGAGTGAACGTGCAAATTTACTCACTGACATTAGATGGCGTTTAATGAAAATAAATATATAAGAAATACCCATCGAATCCTATTTGATCTACAATTCCTCTCCATAACAAATCCCTCTTATCAAGATTTTTGTCGCGTTTGTCATAAAGCTCTTTGTGTTCAGACACCAATGAGACCAGAAGCTCTACATTCATCTTGCCTCGATGCATCTTCTTCGTCTACTTACTTCCTCTTCATCGTTATCAATGTGTGCTCGGCAAGACCGTTTTGTGCTTGTGCGCCACCAAGTCGTGTTTTACTGTAACTTCAGCAGCTCCAGGCACGTGAACAAAAGCGCCAATCTCATTGGTCAGCCATTTTTTAACGCTGCGTGTCAAACCAAAAAAAACGAGTCCGAGGCATTTTTTAAAAATGATACTTTTATGCCTGCTGTTTTGAGCGTTGGTGTGCACACTCACATTGGCGCCCTTTGTTTAGTCACGAGGCGTTAAACGTCGGCGATAATCGCTCCGGTGTGCAGAGGACTTTAAGTAAACATTACTGCATAGGTAAATCATCTTGAGGGAATTATAATGTGTATAAATCTGAGTAGTATTTTTAAAAAGTACAGTTAATTTCATGGTAATTCACTGTTATCTCTTGAATTGTTTTCCAAACATTGGGTATATGCTGATAAGCCGCTGTTGGCCTATATTTAAAATATTTAAAATCAGTGTTGGGGTAAGTTACTTTTAAGAGTAATGCATTACAATATTGCGTTATCCAATAAAAAAGTAACTAAATGTGTTAGTTAGTTACTTTTTATGGAAAGTAATGCATTATGTTACTTTTTGTCACCTGAGCTGGGCTTGCTTATTTATTTATAAAAAATAAAAATAAAAAGTTATATTTTTGTCAACTGTAGGTTGAAGGCCCTTTCACACCAAAAGTGAAATTAATAAGCCTCAGGCTGAAGCAAGTGCCTCTGCACCACACTCCCAATTTCTCTCAACACGAGGACAGGAGAGCTGTCAGTGAACAAATAGGAAAACAAAGTAACTTGCGTTACTTATTTAAAAAAGTAACTCAAGATATTTTCTTGTAAATGTAAAAGTTACTTGGAAAAAAGTAATCTGATTACGTAACTTGCATTACTTGTAATGCGTTACCCCCAACACTGATTAAAATATGGGTGAATAGGGGGTGAATTCTCATTGACCTCCTACAGTGCTGGGTAGTAACTGATTGCATGTAATCTGGATTACGTAATCAGATTTGAAAAAGTAAGTACTTATAACTGGATTATATTACGTTATAAAATGCTCATAATCAGATTACAGTTACTTTTTTTATGGATTACATTATTACATATTATTCACACAATGGCAGTAAATTTATTGAAATTTCATTTTCTTAATAAACCTCCCATATACATGAGACTAATAATTATGCAAGTTACTAAACACTGCCAATGTGTAGCTGTGGAATACTACGTTTTCATTATATACACTGAACATTTCAAACCAGGAAGATTTTGGCCATGTAATGTAGCGTTTTCATGTTTATTCATATTTGTTCATGTAATGTAGGGATACCCAAGCTTTTTTTGTGAGCCGAACCCCTGTGATCTACAATATTTACTTGAAGTCCCACTGAGATGTCAACCATTTAACAACATAACTGCATGTTCCCAGTTCTCTGATGTCAATGGTCACATTGTCACATTGGTCACATTGACAATTTTTAATTCATATTAATTTGGCATTTTTATGATTTAATTAATTATTAGCTTTTCATCAACACCACACAATTTTTTCATGAACCCCCAATATGATACCATTCAAGTCTATTTGATAAATGACTTTCAAAACTAAGTAATCTAAAAGTAATCAGAAAGTAGTCAAATTACATGACCTAATAAGTGCAATCCAGATTATGTTGCTAACTACGATTTTTGTCACGTAATTTGTAATCAGCAACGGACTACAATCTGTAAGTAATCTACCCAGCACTGACCCCCTTAAATAAATGTGTTTTTCTCTATGCACCAAGGGTGATCTACAATATTTACTTGAAGTCCCACTGAGATGTCAACCATTTAACAACATAACTGCATGTTCCCAGTTCTCTGATGTCAATGGTCACATTGTCACATTGGTCACATTGACAAATTTTAATTCATATTAATTTGGCATTTTTATGATTTCATTAATTATTAGCTTTTCATCAACACCACACAATTTTTTCATGAACCCCAGTATGAACCCCCAATATGATACCATTCAAGTCTATTTGATAAATGACTTTCAAAACTAAGTAATCTAAAAGTAATCAGAAAGTAGTCAAATTACATGACCTAATAAGTGCAATCCAGATTATGTTGCTAACTACGATTTTTGTCACGTAATTTGTAATCAGCAACGGACTACAATCTGTAAGTAATCTACCCAGCACTGACCCCCTTAAATAAATGTGTTTTTCTCTATGCACCAAGGGTGTTCAGTACATAAAAGCTGCGAATGCTCTGCAATACCCAAGCCATTTGGGAGAATGAGTTCGCAGACTGGCTAATTATTATTAACATTACTATAATTTCCCTTGTCATTTGAGGTGTTACATAGAGCTTACATAATAAAACATTGAAACTATGTATGTAACTGTAAACGTAAATTAGGTCAGTGGATCCACAACAGCCCTGGCACCTGCGCTGTGCTGCTATTAATTTGTCATTATTGCTCCGCATTCTTATTGGTTTGTTGGCCATGTGTGTGATTTAATGCATAAGATCTGTGAACTGCTCTTCCCTAGTAGAAGAATGTGCTGTTGCTGGCAGATCTCCATTACTGAAAATCACATTGTATTTGGCATAGACAAAGTATGTTGAAAGTACACATTATTTGGCAACATGCTTGAGCAAACTAATCAAAGTGAACATTTCTGAACATTTTTTATGGTTCCATTTGTTTTCTCCTTGCTTGACAAATCTTGCATGTTTGAAGTGCGTATGTGTGTAAGCATTCGTATCTTGGGAAGGCCCTGCCAACTAATGGCTATAGGCAACAATCCTGAATTTTTAGCGTCATTGTTATGAATAAATTGAGTCAAAGAAATGTTGCAGATAATGTAGAAACCTGTGTTGCATTTAAGATGTTAAGATGTTCTTGATGTTGGTGTTGGATAGCAAACATTTTACATATTGTGATATGGATTTTAAAGCTTAGAAGTGGCTTTGAAGTGAAATATGTCATAGCGGAAGTGGTGAAGTATATCGTTTCTGCCCTACTAGCGTCACCTAGTGGAATTATTAAAATAAATACTGGTGTGAACTTGCTGATTTTTAACAAGAATTTCTGATCATTTAAGCTGAGATCATTACAAAATGGACATTTCAACTGTCAGTTGTTAACTTATTTTGCCTTTTATCTATTGACATTGGTAAAGGCCGTAGCCTTGTGGTCAGTGCTCCAAAAATGTAACTTTTAAAATTAAGAAACTGTATTTTGATGGGATGTACTTTTTTGACAGCATAGTAAAAAATTGCTGTTTGCTCATATACCATCTTGTATTTTCCATTTTGAATGTTGAAAAATCTGGTATTATATATATTCTAGATCACCAGAAGCTGGACAGGGAGGCTAGGATCTGCAGACTGCTGAAGCACTCCAATATTGGTAAGTTCACCACACACACACACACACAAAACGGTTACTTAGCTATCTAAATGAGGTGAACTTGTGTTTATATAAAGCTAATCATAAATATAGCTGGCATTAATGAACAAAGCAATCTGGTGACTAGTCGTATTATTTTAGGTCAAACTATTTAGACATTATAAGCCATTTTTCTGGTTTCATTTAAATAGCCTCTAACGGCTCAGGTGCCGTCTGGGTATGACCAAGTTTCAATATGCCAAAGTCTTGCCAAACAGTTACAGGAAACACAGAATTGTTCAATTATGTTAGTAATATCAGAACTTCCAACCATAGTTGGCTATCAATGCTTTTGGGAAACACACTCCTGTTTGGTATATCAAAAAGCTTTTGATAGCTTTTGGTCAGCATGGTCTTAACCATATTCAGTTTTGAGCCAAATCTGTTGACAATCTGAGGAATTCTCTAGAAGGAAAATGACAATGTGCTGTAGTAGCATCAACAACATCAACATCACATTTGACACTAAAATTGCTCAAGTTGATATTTAAACCCTCCTTAATCAATGTGCTAACCTTTTACCATACATTTCAATGGACTGCCATATATTGCAATGCAGAAGTAGTGGGAGAATAACAACTAGATAGAAAGTCACAGTTACCTTTTTTATTTTTATTCAGTGGCGGAAATGTGCTTCCATACATATCTGATAATCAATTAAATTAATAAAATGTATTTTGCTAAATTTTTGCCAGGAACCTCTTGAGGTGCCTACCAATCAGGCAAATGCTTAAAGCTTAAAGCTCTGTTCTCAGTTCAGAAGTGAATCTGTGCTCTTATTTGAAACATTTTTGAAGAAAAGTTTGTAGCAAATCTGTTGGGAAGAACAATCCCAGAAAGAGTTAAAGTGTGAGTACTTGCAAGGCAATGGACTGTAAATGTCAGAAAATATTGAAACAAAAATGACTTTATAATCATGTTATCTCTTTTTTTCTTCTCCATCCAAACCACAACTGGCAATCCTTCACCAGTGCGGCTGCATGACAGCATCTCAGAGGAAGGTCACCATTACCTCATCCTTGACTTGTAAGTTTCTCTGACCAACCATACCAGATAAAAAGCAACTTACTGTACTGTACTATAATACTCTACAAACCATGAACCGAAATACTGCTGTAGGTTAACAAAGGCCCAAATGAGTGAAAAACATGATATGTTTTTTAGAAATGAATAAATACTTTTGCTTTCCTCTGCTAATGTCAGGTTTTGTGGGGGAAAAGGTAATAAAGGGTAATTTATTTTGCAATAGCGTGGGTGGATACAATAGATATCTTTCTTCATATTGAAATAATTACAGTACCTACTGTATGACACCTTCATAAAACCATTGTCATATTAAAATTGCTAGATGTTGAAAAGAGATATAAGGGTGTCTCTTCAACTTCAAGCATTTTAGTCTCCCAGGGATCAGCTTCTGGTGACACTTTATTTGAATGTGTCCTTGTTACAGTTTAATTACACTTAAGTACTGAGTAATATTAATTAACAAATGCTTTTTATAGGTTTAGAGTTTGTTTTAGTCTTGGAATTACACAATTTACTGTTAATACTATAGTAAATACATGTAATATATGTAACAAAGACACATTAAAATAAAGTGTTAGGCAGTGGGGGTTTTGTGTGTGTGTGTGTGTGTGTGTGTGTGTGTGCGTGCGTGCGTGTGTGTGTGTGTGTGTGTGTGTTATATAACGATCACATTAAAACACTGGCTAGACAATGCCAATATACTGATATTTTATTTTTTGTGTATGCTTCTTCTTCTGACACTAAAATATCTGACTGTAACCCATCCTAGAGTTTTTTTAAGCTACAGTCACCAAACTCAGCATAGACCTTCAGTTTGTTTTGACCCAATTTGCTATATCTTGTCTCACTCATTTGCATTTCGGTTTTCGTAAAACATGCAAAACTCCTCAAAAATCCATAGATGTACATTATAGCACCCACACAGAAGATCCTAGTTACTCCCAAGCCACTTCCTTGCACCCTAGCCGATATTTTGAAAGTAATTGGGGTCAAGGCAAGATTGAACTTCATTTACTTTCATTGTATGAATAAAAAAATACACTGAGACATTAATGCATTAACAAATCTGATGATTTAGTGATATTGCCATATTTGTCAAAAGTAGCAATAATAATTGTAAGTAATTCTGCTTCTTTTTTATTCATTTCTCTACTGTCAATTGTTTCTCTTCTAAAGTTTTGGGGAGGCACTGCCTCCCTTGCCTCCTCAGAGAAAACACCCCTGGTATACACTGCTGGAAATTGTTAGGAGACAAATGAAACCAACTAGTGAGAGAGGGGAAAGTGAAAAGTTCACAGAGGCGGAAGTGCCTACAGTTGAAGAAACTCCCATAAATAAACTGCTGTCTCAAGTCAATTAATACTGTAACTAGTGCCATTACTTGCTCATTCTTGCTCACTCATGTGGTTCAGAGTAACGGGTGGTGAGCTGTTTGAAGACATTGTTGCCAGGGAATATTACAGCGAAGCAGATGCCAGGTGGGTGGGCTATCAGCACAACACAAATGGACTGTATGTATAAAATCATTACACAAATAATGGACAATATGCAAATACATAAAAGCACACTAACTTAAATAGTCCAAAGTTAAGTCTCCATGCCTTGGCAAGAGCCAGATAACTCACAAATTTTGCCAAAACTAGGCAAAACTGTCATTTTCATTTTAATCAGACTTCATAACATTCACTTTAGTGATACAGAAAATAGCTTTTTTTATTATTATTATTCTACAGCAAATAAAATAGCTTTTTTTATTATTCTACAGCAAGCAAAAAAAAAAAAAACTGGAATGTGTACAACTGACATGTTAAAATGTATATACATCATGTCATGTGTTGAAATCCTGTGTGGCTAGTATATTCCAATGTATTTGAGTAAAAGTTTGTTTTTTTCCCCCTGAAGCCATTGCATCCAGCAGATTTTGGAGGCAGTACTTCATTGCCATCAGATGGGCGTCGTGCACAGAGACTTAAAGGTATTTCATTATAATTGATGTTAAACCTCTGTCATTATCACTCTCATCTCTTTGTGGCCCCCAGACAGAACACTTGCTTCCAAACAATCTCAAACTTTCAGTTATATTTACACCACACACTTATCATTAAAAAAAAATGATATTATGCAATGCTGGAATATCCAATATTTCAAATGCATGCAGCTTGCCTTAGGGAGAAGTGCACTAGGCTCTATGTTATTTATTAGCTAATAGATTATTTATTCCATCTTAAATATTTTAGCCTATTTTACATGTACTGTGTGAGCAGTACTTTTTAGTGTCCTTATTAACAGGTTACCACATTCACACTCGGAGTGAGAGCTACACGATGAGAGCCCACAAGTGGCAGAGTTTTGGCTTAGAGTATTATTTTTTGCGATACAACTCATGCTAAATTAATAGATGCAAAAGTTATTCAAAAACATTTGAACTCTGAATGTAGAATAAATCATCAGTACTGCAGATTGGGGGTCTCTATAGCATGCACACTGATTATTGTTTTATGAAAAGTGGTTAAAAAACAATTACTTATATGTAATACAATACAATACAATACAGTTGTAGTACTAATATAATTGAATTTGCAGTCAAAAAATTAACAAACTTGATAATCTTGCAAAAAATGGATTCTGGGTTTCTCATATGCACATCTTTCATGTGTTCTTTCGAAACTACAAGAGATCATCTGTAGTTAGTGTTAAAAAAGGTCAGCACAGGTGGCTTTGTGGTATTTGTTAAAAGCCTCAACAGAAGCATTTTGGCCAATCTGCTCAAGTACAGTGCATTTCAGTAGTTCAGATATAGGATGAAATGAAAGCACGTATAATTTTCTCTAAATTGTTAAAAGGGAGGACAGATTTCAGTTTTGAGATTTTGAAAACATTTTAGAGCACCAAATAACAAAAATGACACCCATATTTTTAACATTGGAGTGCTTATTGCCACTGCAGAGACCCAAAATTGTCAGTAACATTAGTGTTACCACATACGTTTCAACCAAAAATAACTGTCTTGTCCTCATTTAGCTGGAGAAAGCTATTAGCTAACCAATATCAGCCAAATGGTCAAAAAGGGATTAAACAAAAAATTATCACCATGCTTCAAATTTTTTCAATTGTCTCAAATGACAGCATAAATCAAAAGAATACAACAGGTCCTAAATCCGAGCCTTGGGGCACCCCACATCTGATGTGGACAGGTGATGATGAGCAGTTCCTATTCCTAAGTGAAAACGTTCTATGCTGTAAATAAAGGGGTGACATTTAGGACCAAGCTCTAAATGCCAGTGCACTGCCTGAGATGTACAATTAAGATACCATAAACGATAGTATCGAAAGCTGCATCTAATAACGTCTAATAACATTGAGGCAACACAATTTACCGAATTAACCAGAGAAGAGGCATGGCACCATCATACTTATAACTGAGCCAGTCCAGTTTATATGAGTTAATAAAGTTTATATCTGGTTTGTATAAAGTATTAAAGATGGTATACTAGTTTGCACTTGATTATACAAACTTGTGCACTGATTCTAATTTTAAGCATTTGATGTAAAAGTGCTAACATTTTCCACACAAGTAATGGGTGTTTCTGCTTATGTGGGGTGTGCAAGTAATTTCAAAATGTACATTTCAATTGTGTTTTGAACAATTAACTTTATTGAAATACCACTCCAATATTTGTATGTTGTAATATATTGGAGGAAAAAAACAACTAAATGTTCATTAGCACTTTATCCGTGAATCTTTTTCCTTTTTTGTCCCGTTTGTTTCCATGTTTCTAGCCAGAGAACCTGCTTCTGGCTTCGAAATCCAAAGGTGCAGCTGTGAAGTTAGCAGACTTTGGCCTTGCCATTGAGGTTGAAGGGGACCAACAGGCTTGGTTTGGTAATGACCCATTTATTATACCACCAAATATCATTGATATAGAATTGCACAAAGCATAGATTAACACTCCAAATATATCTTCACATAATATTAAGGGTCACACTTTAGTTTGGGAACCAATTATCACTATTTATTAACTTTTGGCTCAATAAACTCCTAATTTGCTGGTTATTAATAGTTAGTAAGGTAGCCGTTAAGTTTAGGTATGAGTACGGATTAAGAATAAGACATAAATAAGACATTAATATGTGCTTTATAAGTACTAATAAACAGCCTATATGCTAGTAATATGCATGCTAATAAGCAACTAGTTAATAGTGAGAATTGGTTCCTAAACTAAAGTATTACCAAGTATATGAAAAGCAGTGCCATTCTTTTCACTTTTAAATGATTTTTAATAGTTTCACCTGTTTTTGGTTCTGATTTTAATCTTTATGCATTTTACACACACACACACACACACGCACACACATATTAAGGGTCACACTTTAGTTTGGGAACCAATTATCACTATTTATTAACTTTTGGCTCAATAAACTCCTAATTTGCTGGTTATTAATAGTTAGTAAGGTAGCCGTTAAGTTTAGGTATGAGTACGGATTAAGAATAAGACATAAATAAGACATTAATATGTGCTTTATAAGTACTAATAAACAGCCTATATGCTAGTAATATGCATGCTAATAAGCAACTAGTTAATAGTGAGAATTGGTTCCTAAACTAAAGTGTTACCATATTAAGTATATGAAATGCAGTGCTGTTGATTTTGAATATCTGCACGTGTTTTTGTTCTAATTGTAATCTTTATGCATTTGACACACACAACATATGAATTTATGTTCTTTTTCATATGAGTCACTTCAATGCTACATCTCTAGTTGGCGGTATGTGAACTTAAGCTCTGCCCCTCTGGATGTTTTGATGTACATATCATTGAGCCTTAGTGCCATCTTGTTCAGATTTCTGTGGGTTTTAACACGCCTCACACTCTTTCGCACATAATGGGGACAAAACATCCCTCATGTAATATATGCTTAATTGACTTCACCTTCATTACCTTACATGTTCTGAATCAGATCTTCAGAACTACCTAAATAGTCTTCAATTGATACTTTTTTTTCTGTTACTCAAGTAATTATTATCATCATTACTTTTTCTTCTACTTGAGTACTTATTTCTGATAAGCATCTTACATGTTCTGAATCAGATCTTCAGAACTACCTAAATAGTCTTCAATTGATACTTTTTTTTACTGTTACTCAAGTAATTATTATCATCATTACTTTTTCTTCTACTTGAGTACTTATTTCTGATAAGCACTTGTACTTGTATTTGAGTCTAGTATTTGGTTACTCCACCTCTGTGCACATAAGACGACTAATTTTATGTGGCTCAGATTCATATTTACATTTGCCTGAAAGTGAGGCATAACATTACATAATTCGGGGCCAGGATGCTTTTTTATCAAGAGGAGGTTTCCTTGTTGATAGCCTAAGCAGCCTGTGTGACAGTTGTTTGTGTATGTTTCCTGGCTGGAAGAGTGCATATATGCAATATATGCAATTCTCAGTTATTTAAATCAAATGAAAGTCTTTGATGTTGTCTGATTATACACTAACTGGCCACTTTATGAGGTACACTTTATTAGGTGCTAGTACCAGGTTGGACCTTCAGAACTGGCACACAGTAGATTCAACAAGGTGCCGGAAACATTCCGCAGAGATTTTGGTCCATATTGACATGATAACATCGCGCAGTTGCTGCAGATTTGTCCTTTGCACATCCATGATGCAAATCTCCCGTTTCATCACATCCCAAAAGTGCTTTATTGGACTGAGATCTGGTGACTGTGGAAACCATTTGAGTATAGTGAACTCACTGTCATGTTCAAGAAACCAGTCTGAGATGATTTGAGCTTTGTGACATGGTGCATTGTCCTGCTGGAAGTAGCCATCACAAGATGGGTACACTTTGGTCATAAAGGGATGGACATGGTCAACAGCAATGCTCAGGTAGGCTGTGGCGTTTAAACGATGCTCATTTGGTATTAAGGGGCCCAAAGTGTACCAAGAAAATATCCCTCACACCATTACATGAGTACCAGCAGTCTTATCTGTTGATACAAGGCAGGATGGGTCCATCCTTCATGTTGTTTATGACAAATTCTGACCCTACAATCTGAATGTTGCAGTAGAAATCAAGACTCATCAGACCAGGCAATCTTTTTTCCAATCTTCTATTGTTCAGTTTTGGTGAGCTTGTGTTAACTGTAGCCTCAGTTTCCTGTTCTTAGCTGACAGGAGCGGCACCTGGTGTGGTCTTCTGCTGCTGTAGTCCATCTGCTTCAAGGTTTGATATGCTGTGCATTCAGAGATGCTCCTCTTCATACCTTGGTTGTAAAGAGTGGTTATTTGAGTTACTGTTGCCTTTCTGTCATCTCTAACCAGTCTGCCCATTCTCCTCTGACCTCTGACATCAACAAGGCATTTTCGTCCACACAACTGCCGCTCACTGGATATTTTCTCTTTTTCGGACCATTCATCTGCTTCAAGGTTTGATATGCTGTGCATTCAGAGATGCTCCTCTTCATACCTTGGTTGTAAAGAGTGGTTATTTGAGTTACTGTTGCCTTTCTATCAGCTTGAAACATCAACAAGGCATTTTCGCCCACAGAACTGCCTCTCACTGGATATCTTCTCTTTTTCAAACCATTCTCTGTAAACCCTAGAGATGGTTTATGTGTGAAAAGATTAGCAGTTTCTGAAATACTCAAACCAGACCGTCTGGCTCCAACATCCATGCCACATTCAAAGTCACTTAAATCACCTTTCTTCCCCATTCAGATATTCGGGTTGAACTTCAGCAAATCGTCTTATCCATTCCTACATGCCTTCATGCATTGAGTTGATGTGATTGGCTGATTAGATATTTACATTAACGAGCAGTTGAACAGATGTACTTAATCACACTCATGATGTTTACAGAGCAGGAAGAGACACCGCTGCTGTCGCAAAAGTCTAAGAAGGCAACTAGAATTTGTGTATAGATTCACAATCTTAGACCTTACTATATTTATATGTGAAGAGTTGTTTTAATTTAAATGTAAAGCTTGTGATAAAAATATATTCCTATATAATATAAACACAATAAATAATCATGAGCAAAAGTCAGGCAATTTTGTCAATATTTTTTTTTTTAACTGTGAACCGCTTTAACGCCATAAAGTTACTCCCCCTGTGTCTTTGGCTCAAGAAATGTACATTTGCTCACAGCTGATTGATCGGTTAATTTCTGTCATTTCAGTCTGTGATCTCTAACCCAGATCAAAACTAACTCCCGACCAGGTATTGATTTCATGGGGTCCAAGTGTGACTGGAGACTTAAGCTGTTATTGTAATAGTCTATATGTGAATTCTGTTCAAATGTAATGTAATTATCTTTACATTTTCTTTTTTTCATGTAGCTCATTTTCAATTTCTTCAATACAGGCTCAAATAAAGGTTATGAATGCTTTTTTCTTTTTCTTCTTCTTCACATCAGGGTTTGCTGGCACTCCTGGTTACCTGTCCCCTGAAGTCTTACGGAAAGACCCTTATGGAAAAGCTGTAGACCTGTGGGCATGTGGTTAGTTTTTTCATATTTTTGCATCAAACATCGATATATGTCAGTGTTGTATGTGTGTTAAGGTGTGCCTTTAGCCCCGTTGTACAGTACGCTATATTTCACTGAATTTCCCAAAAAGTTGTTCCAGTAACTGTTCATGATTTTGTTCTTTCATACAACCAGAGCTTTTCCGTATTCTGTAGTTGCATTCACATAAATGCCAGATAGCTCCGGAAAAGATGACAACAGCCTTGTGCACAAAGTGAGATCCATTAAGAGTCTGGTGTAGAACACTTTTGGTTTTTGCCATCATCAAGTCAAACCACATCAACCCAGCATCAGTCCTTGATGCTCTAAATGGGAGCAAATCTCTGCAGTCATATTATATATTTAGGAGAGCAGATTGGAAGCTGTTAGGATGGACCAGCACTCTATTAATGCACATGTTAAATGCTGGGTTGCCAGCTCCCAGAAAAATTTCCAGCCCAAAGCCTACTCACTGAGCTCACTGTAGTTTGAGGGTTACAAATAGGGATGAAACTGTAACAGTTTGATGAAAAGCATGATAAAATTCCCAAAAGTTAGTATTACCGTTTAATATTTTAATTATCATTAAAACTGTATTTGATTACTGCGATTTGGAAAAACTCACAGTAAATACAGCATTAAGCAAAGTTAGCAGCAGTCTCACGCAGACGCAGTGTTTTGTTTTGTGTGAAACTATGGTGGAATGCAGTGACAGGTCTTACAGAGGGAAATTATATTAAATAAAGTATGAATGCATTATATGAATGTATCTCTGAAGAGAACCAACTGCCTTCAGAAAAGTTTTGATGCCATTTCCTTTTCATTTTCCCTCCGTATACTTCCTAATAAAGCAGTGTGTTTATAAGTGCAGCGCTGCTTTGTTTACAGCGGTTACTGCGGAAAAGGTTCTATTACTGCTGTTCCATAAGCGCCACCTGCTGGCAGACAGTGGATTTACATTTTCATTCGGCCTGTCTGCCATATTTGTTCAGAAAAATGCAAAAATCAGACCAAATTTTTAAGTACTGTTGTAAAGTTTAACCGGTTGATGAAAAATAAGCTAATGTGCATTCTAATAATCTAAGCAATCTGGATAATAAAGTATTTAGAATTATTAACAGAGCAAATATTCATCATTTTGATTCATATCCCCTTACTTTAAAATGGTTTAAAGCCTGAAATATGAGGTTTGTCATTTTATACATATATATATATATTTTTTTTTTTTTTTTTTTT